TTCGCGCTCCCCAGTGGCACGGCGCCACGCAAACGCACTTTCCACCAAGGCCGCGCAAATCCGCGTGGCACAGCGACATCACGAACGTAATTTCGCCACACCGTGTGTCACGGACTAAAAGCAAACGTATCACATGATACCGCCAATCATCCCGCTCACCAGCGATGCGCAAACGCGCTTTCCACCAAGGTCGCACAAATCCGCATGGCACAGCGACATCACGGGCGTAATTTCGCCACACCGTCTGTCACAGACTAAAAGCAAACACTTCTGAGTCCCGCTCCGTTTCCGGCACTACATTTGTACTACAAACTGGCCACTTCTGAGTCCAGCTCCGAAAGCTCTTTCCCGTACTACGTTTGTAATACAAACTGGCCACGTCTGAGTCCAGCTCCAAAATGAAGCGCCAAGTCCCCAAACCAAGCGTTTCGTACGAGACTTCCTCCAAAAGTGAAGCGTCAAGTCTCCAAAACGAGCGTTTCGCGCGCTCCAAAAGTGAAGCTCGACCCACCCGATCCCCGCAGAGGGTTGAACCAACATGTTCAAAAGTTGCAAAAACCCTCACATTTGAACGCGTGACGCGCGCGATCTTCGCAGAGGGTCGCCTCTCGATTGACCTGGCCCCGCCTTAAGAGAGAATAGAATAGAGAAGTCGAGATATGGATGGAGATGCTCGTGTGATAAGACTCGTGTGATAAGACTTGTATGATTACGCTCGTGCTATGATGCTCTTATCTTGATGCTCATGTCTTGATACTCATGTGATCACACTCGCGCTCGTGTTATGATACTCTTATCTTGATGCTCATGTCTTGATGCTCATGTGATCAAGTGATAAGACTTGTGTCATTACGCTCGCGTGATACTGCTCTTATCTTGATGCTCATCTTGATGCTCATGTGATGATAGGCATGTGATGAAGGAACACGGCGAAGGAATCTGCCTTTAAGAAAAACCCCCCGCAATCGCTCTCGGGAACAAAAACCCAGACAATATTTTCCTGTGAGCCCAATTCTGTAGCTCTATTCAGGGTACACTTTTAGGGTTTGGTGGCTTCATGGGGAGAACCCTTTCCAGAAGGGTTTTGATTAATTTTCGATGGTTTTTAAATCAGGGGTTTTATTAGAATTGTTGCCAGAAGGTTTTGTGTGGTTTTTGATGATGAAGGATTTAGTTGAGAAGGAAACTAAAATAGAAGGACCGGATAACCCCACATGTTAAGCTCATCAGAACTAGCAACGAGAAGCCGTCCTGCTGCGAAATCTGCACTTCAGGTTCACCAAGTGCTGTGCCTGCCACGATAGGCACCCGCGGGCCAGCGGCGACCGCGCGTCCACCCAGTCCTCCTGCAGGCTCTGCGCACTGCGCCTGCCACGAAATCTGCACTTCAGGTTCAAGTGCTGTGCCTGCCACGAAATCTACATGACAGGCAGCCGCGGGCCAGCGGCGACCACGCGTCCACCCAGTCCTCCTGCAGGCTCTGTGTACTGCGCCTGCAACGAAAACAGTGCTGTGCCTGCGGCAAAATCCACACTCCAGGTTCACCAAGTGCTGTGCCTGCCACGAAATCTACACGACAGGCAGTTGATGCACTTCCACATTGCTTCTGCTCTTGTGACTGGGTGAGGATGTCCTAACAGGTCTTGCTGGCTCCTCCATTCCTCTGCTCACTGGCTCAAGATTGAGGCACCTCCCAACAATCCTTGTGTGCCAGAAGACACAAGGTGTGAGTTGACTGTTCTAACAGGTTTTGCTGTCTCGTCCACCTCCTCTGCTCACTGGCTGAGGATGGAGACACTTCCAAAAATGCTTGTGTTGCCATAAGACACAAAGCAGTGATTCCATTCTAACAGGCCTTGCTGGCTCCTCCATGTCCTCTGCTGAGGACCAGGGCGCCAGCCAACAACCAACCAAGCCATTTTGCTCAGATTGCTCAGTTTGTGCTGGTTGGTGCTTTTTGGTTTTGTGGTTTAAAGAAAAACTGACCACAGCTGAACGGGCAAGGAGGTTTCATATTTCGACCCTGGTGTCAAAAGCGGCCTTAGCGTAGTGGCGCGCAAGCAGACTTAGATGCCGAAGATCATGGGCTCGAGTCCTCCTATGGTCATTTTTGCAGTGTGAAGCCAATCCACAATAGAGAGGAGACCAATAGTCAAAGCACTCCCCTCTATTTAGTTGAGAAGGAATCCAAAGAAGCAATCTGTCAAGAAAGGAATTAATAGAACCAATTAACACATTCACTCATTTTTCAGCGCGCAAAAATTGTTTAGCTTTATTTCGGGCGCGCTATACATGGGGAGAACCCTTTCCAGAATGGTTTGATCAATTGTCAATGGTTTTTCAATAAGGGGCTTATAAAGAATTGTCGTCAGAAGGTTTTGTGTTTTGATGATGAAGGATCTAATTGAGAAAGAATCCGAAGAAGCAATCTGTTAACATTAGAATGAACCACACAAAAATATTTTTCTGTGAGCCAATTCTGTAGCTTTATTCAGGGCGCACTCTATTTAGGGTTTGGTGGCTTCATGGGGAGAACCCTTTCCAGAAGGGTTTTGATCCATTTTCGATGATTTTCTAAAGAAGGGGTTTAAAAAAGAATTGTTGTCAGAAGGTTTTGTGGTTTTTGATGATGAAGGATTTAGTTGAGAAGGAATCCAAAAATACACGCTGTCAACCAAGAATTCATTATATGATAGAACCAACTAAACATTCAAACATTTTTCAGTAGAGAAATGCTTTAGCTTTATTTAGGGTAGGGTTTGGTGGCTTCAGAAAAGGAACAAAATACTAACCCAACAAGTTTTTCAGTGATCAAAACTGTTTAGCTTTATTTAGGGTGCACTTTATTTCGGGTTTGGTGGCTTCATGGGGAGAACCCTTTCCAGAATGGTTTTGATCACATATTGGCGGTTTTTGCATAAGAGGTTCATCAAGAATTTTCATCACAGGGTTTGAGGTTTGGTGAACAATTCAACTGAGAATTGAACTGGAATTGAGTTTGAATTGAATTCTAATTGACTTGCAGCTACTTGACTTGCAGTTATATAATTGAATGAGGACTGTAATTGAATGAACAAAATTCTATAGCTCTATTTAGGGTAGACTTTATTTAGTGTTTGGTGGCTGCCTGAAAATCTAATAGCTTTATTTAGGGTAAGCTGTGGCTTCATGGGGAGAACTCCTTCCAGAATGGTTTGATCAATTTTCAATAGTTTTTAAAGAAGGGATCTATAAAGCGTGCTGCTAACTTTATTCCGGGTACCTTTATTAATCATAGGTCAACATTACTGATTTCGCACGCCCAATCTTGGTTGTTGGAGCTCGGTGCGAAACTGTTCCGTCTCCAGCGTCTCATTCTCAGGTAACATGTCCTAGTGGATTCAGAAAGTGGCGAAGGAGCAGCTGGCAGATCGAGGTTGCCTTCGGAAAGGCGAAGTACGGAAGAACTCCGTTCTGGAACGCTTTCCAGGATGACTCATCGTCTCAAAGAACGAATGCTGCAGCCGAGGGGGCTAAGCCTCGTCCATCAGCAGCCATCCTGCCCATCTAAGGGCAATCAAGTGACGCTCCTTCGTCGCTTTGCGCGGAGAAGCTGCAACTTGAAGCCTTTCGGCTTGTATACTTCTGCCGTGTCCATCGGCTCTTTGCTACGTGGCGCCGGCTGGGCGCGCCGCTACCGACACTTGGACAAGCCAACAAGGACAAAAGTTCAATTTCTATCGGCTATCATGTTGCAGATCGCTGTACGACATATCAAAGGACAACGGAAAGCGCCATCAAGGCGCTCGTTGGGTCAACTGGGCTGAAGCGCCTGGAATGATTTGCCTCCATACTGCCGGCATACTTGTGGCATCTGAGCTGTCAGAACTCATCCAAAAGGAGAATGTTCTCCTAACGGTGATTGCACCGGAAGAACACTGGCAAAAACTCTCGAGCCAAAAGACACGGAGGCATTTTGCACAAGATACTTAGAAAGTAAGAATGGATCATGAATAACGCAACTCGAGAAGGCCTTAAGCAATAATAGCAACTTCAACAGGTGTGGAGATGGACGGGGAAGCCACCAGTTACAAAGGGGGCCTCCCTTTGAACATATAATTGCTATATGTACATAGATATGTATGTATAATATATGTATGCGAAAATGTTGTATGTGTAGATAAACGAGAATGCATATGTATTATAAAAATGGCTCTGCAGAAGCCAATGAAGGGTCATTATGTATTCTATGTGCACAGTTGCAAAACCTCCTAAGAACGGCGAGCCCGAACAGCATGCAAGTAACACGCAACTGTACACAAAGGATCAGTGACAGGACGCCCGGCTCCCGCCGTCGGGGCAAAACCTCAGGTCTTGAAATGTGCATAGCTGTGAGAATAGAGCCGATTTCAACAAACACGAACGAGCAAGGTCTGGGAGGCAAAACTGTTGAGACTCTCGCGAGTCAAGCTTTTTTCAAACTCTGCCCCAGGCGAGAGATGACAAGGATGCCCAACACCATGGGGCAAAGAAGCCTTTCAGGTCTCAATCAACCCAATGTCTCTGAAACAAGGGCGCTTCGCATGGGCCACGCATGCGTCTTCCACCTTGAACATCCTCACAGGATCTCAAAGGATTTTCTGGGCTGACATTTGCCCTAACCATATTGGGAAGAGGCAATGAGTGTCCTTTGATGCCGGGCAAATTTGTTTTTCTTTAGCGGGCTGTTGTGGCAGGGCCCCCACTTACATTACAATCATGATGCTTTGAGTTTCTTTGAAGGGTTGAAACTTCAGCCCGCAATGATACGAATTGGTGCTGCGTGGGCCTCCATCTTCTCACTTGAAAAGATCTTGACATGCTAACATCAAAAGAGAAACTTTGCGCATAGAGACTTGCAGGCTGAAACCTTAACCGGTAGCTCTCTCGCAACGAAGCTGCGCAAACCCTCAGCCACTCACTCGAAAAGAGTACTGCGCATGCAAACGCCAAACAAAGTCACGCCAGCCATCATGGTCGCATGCGTAGCCCCACTAGGTCACTAGGACTCACTAGGTGCCCACGTCTGTCCATCCGTCCTTCCCTCCATCTGTCCGTCCGTCCATCCAGCTCTCCCTAGCACACCCCACCATCCATCCATCTGCGGTCCATCCATCTGTCCACTGCCCGTCCTTTGTACAATCTCCCTTTTCACCAACACCACCAGCATCGGCATCACCAACATCACTCGATCATCAATGATGGCCTGCATCACCATTCGCGCCGCCATTTAACACCTGTAGCTCCACCAATCAGGTTGGCCCCATCTCTCCCTCGCTTCGTTCGCAAATATCAAACTTCATCCTAGACGGCCGGCCCTTTTTTGGGGTGTGCTTCGTCTCATGAAATGCCCCGAACACGTGTGTGCACCGACCCTTTGTACTGGTGACGCGCAGCACTCTCCAGCGACCAGCTCAAACCTCTACACTAGAACAAAATTGCCAGTGAACCCTACGAGCTCGCTCCAAAAAACTCCTGATAGTTCAGGCACTTACGCACATCGTTCACTGCTTGGGGATAATCTAGTCCCAGGTTCATGCTACTAAACGTATCAATTTATCAATCTAAACACAACCCTCCGCAAACACATTTTGTCCGGCCCCACAAAATTGCTTCGTTGGTTCAAGTGCCATGACCGCATGGCCGTTCTCTGAAATTCTGTGGCCAGCATTGGTCGTTTTTGGCGACGGTTTTCGTTTCGTTTTGCTGCTTGGGACTTCTTTCAGAGATTGATTGAGACGACTCAATCTGGGCACTCTGGAGTTGCAAATTGTTCATGCTCAGCGAATTCCTTGACTGACAACACCATCATTTTCGGCACCTCGCTCCACGTTGGACTGTTTGAATGGGTTTGGTGCCTTCAAAGTGCAATTGCTCTTTGTTTATGTTTGCTCGTGAATGATAGTGACGGCCTTCCCAACCGCCTGACACAAACGGAACAAAGGTTGTAGTTGAAGCTCTGGCGGGTGATACATGTGCGCCAGTCATACTATTGCTGCAAAGTGAAGCGCACTCGTGGCATTCGTGGAGAATAATGCACATCGCTGACTAAGGATAGGCTATGGGCTTTCATGGCAAACGAACATGCAAAAAAAAAACTCATCACCGGCTGGTGGAGTCTTGAAGTATTGCAACGACTAGTGGGTTGGTGGAGAAGGTGTAGTTTGCAAAATCGCGTGTCGCTTGGAGACAATTTGGGCAGAGGTTCCGAATTGTTGATTTTGTGAATGAAGGCTGCGCTGGCTGTTGCTCTGACGTCGTGCCAGTCAAACGTGGTTTGAAGCAACCAAAGCCCTCGCAGCTCATGAACAAGTCTGGGCCAACTTCCAAGAAGCAAAGAAACAGTTTTACAAGGACACCCGGAAAGCCTTGGACAAAAGCTGTGTCTCCCGTGGATTTTACCCGACCGACAACAAAAATAACAAAGTGCCAGGCAACATGGAAAAGGCAAACGAAAAAACGGCACAGGCTTCAATGGTAGATGTGTCACGTGCGGCAAGTGGGGCCACGGGAGCGCAACATCCAACTCAACATCTGGGAAAACCAGTGTGGGATTTGTCTTCGGCACTCTGGGGTTCTCTGAGGAGATCGTCGTCTCATCACCACGCAGTCATTGATTGCGGTGCCTCTAAATCCATCATTGGAGGTCACACGCTACAACGGGTGTGTGTGACCACTACACTCGTTCGGGACTGGACCCAAGAGTTGTGCAGCGACCGTTCGGTGACTCGCTCATTTCTGATTGCAACAATTACAAATGCCTGCTCTCAATCCTTCGGACTTGCACAGCTAAACCGTAGAACTAGGAGGCATTGAAACCAAGATCCCCTTGCACATTGTGGAAGGGCCTACTCCTATGTTGCTTTCCGCAGAGTGGGTGAGAGATCAGGAATCCAGAAGTGGCATTGCTCATTTCAAGTGTCTCGGAGCCCATAGCCCATAGTCTACATACAATTCATTCAATCCTTTACTCTGGAGAGACAGAGTCGTCGTCAGGTCAGCCGCAGGGTGCGCGCGGTTGATTGAATGTCAGCGACAAGAAAAGTTAGGGGAAGCAAGTCTGGAACATCCTCTACGAGCACAATCCTGGTCAAAACCAACTATGCGAACTGTGAGTCGGTTGTGTGGCGGTGTGACGGGTGCATGTTCGTTTTTTTACACCCCAAGACCGGTTTGGGGCATATGCAGCTCCTCGCAATGCATACGAAGTGCCCTTCAAGGTGAGTGTGCGCACGAACATGAGTATGATCCCATAGAAGGCCAGGTTACGGTTACATCCATGACCGCGACATACTGTACATACCCCGCAAACCGTTGCAAAGCATTTGCTGAGGCACTGATGGACACGAAAACTCAACTTGACTTGATCTTACATCACATGCACCAAGCACACTTGGTAGGTACGACTTCGACATTTCCACCAGAAGAAGAGGAATCAAACAGAGCCCCTGAGAACGTCAAAAAGACTGGAGATCTTCAACGGCATATAGGAGGACGAAACATCCGAGCCAGCTGAAGTTGAAAATCAGAATCTTCGAGTCGCTAAAAAAGTTGAATGCGAGGTTCGCCGGCAGCGAGGACACGCTAAGCCAGATGTGACTTCCCCGAGTGACGGACAAGTGGCATACGATTTCTGTTGACACGTTCCGGTGGCACATACAGCTGGCCCTCACAGACTTTCTAATTTTTCGGGAATAGTTTCTTTGATAAGTGCTCGGATTTTCATGTGGCGGTGGTAGCTATAGATCCGGTCACAAGAAATCGGGGTCGGTCAATGCCAAGGAGTTTAAGCAGGCCTTTGGGGAAAACTGGTTGAAACTGTTGCCGAAGCGTGAGGTGATGCGTTTTGATGATGAATGTTTTTTCAAGATCAACGAAACCATCATGGTTATGCGCATTCAGTTCATAGCTGGGGAGGCTCCCAGGCATATGGGCAAGCACATCCCGAAGTCCTGGAAGAAAACCTGTCCCTTTTATCCTTAGAATTATCAGTAGAAAAAGAAAACGTCTGTCACAGAATTGTTGGACCATTTGGCTACAGAATGGCATTTGTCTCAGCTGCCCAACGAGAAGCCACAGACTTTGAGGCCATGATGCAGCGTGAGCAAAAGGTCAAGGAAACCCTTCTCAGGGCCGATGCTAGACGGAGAGCTCTGAGGGCCGCCAGAGGCCAAGCGTGAAAAGCTGAAATGTTTCGAACTGGTCAGGATGTGTTGTGGCTGAAAAGAGTAGCGACGAAGTGGTCAGAGACAACCAGACTGTTGGTTCTATTGTTTGGGCGAGAGTGCTCTCAAAGCGAACGAAGTCGAGAAGAAGCTTCCGCAAACGACCAAACAAGCAGTTGGTGACCATTTACGAGAAGGACACGGAGTGAGTAGGTGTCTTGCCTCGTATTATATATATATATAGACCAAGGCTCACCGTTTGACGCCAAACAAATGCAGGCAGTTCAGGGCTGTGCTTGGCGCAGTGTCTTGGCAGGGAACCCAAACCGCCCCTTGGCTATGCGTGTCTGCTTCCTAGCTCCAGGGATGTTTGAGGAATCCTCTTGTTTAAGACGCAAGCGACGTCAACAAACTTGTTCGCGCTCGAAGGCAATACAATTCGACCTCGTTGATATCCCCTGATTATTTTTGAAGAAACCGATGTTGTGCACTTTTGACGACGCGTCATGAGCCCTGGCAATCTAAACGGCTGAGTCGGGTGTGTAGAAGCTCCACGGCTGCAGAAATTCAATTGGCCTGCGCGGCCCTTGATGGTCACGAATTCCCGAAACAACTTGCTTTGGACTTCTTGAGCCACGTGCAACTTGATGCCTTGGATGCTTGTTTGCATTGTCTCAAGTCGGTGATCATCACTGACTCGAAAAACATGTTCGACTGTGTCAATCGAATCAAGGGTTGCGGACTACAACTGGAGGAGAAGCGCCTAGTCTGGAGGTTAAGAGCAGCCGGTGTGACATGTGGTTGGGTCAACTCGGATCAGCAGCAAGCTGCCAACAATTTGTCCAAGGCTTTCGAGTTTGAATTCGAAGCATGCCTCAGCATGCCTTAATAAGGTCTTCAAACGAAAAGAGGTTTCTGTTCTATTTGACCCACTTTTAGCTCTGGAAAGCGCAGAAGGGCTGAACTACATAAGCAAGACTCCGGTCAGAGCCAAGAACAACAATTAGAGCAGTGTTGATTTTGTGAATGAAGGCTACGCTTCCTGTTGCTCTGACGTCGTGACACGCAGCGAGTGTGGCACAAGGCCTCTAGCTTTACTGTCGGTTCCTGCATGGTATGAAAAGGCTATCACGCATCCATCACGATCTCTTACCGTGGTCTCATTCCAGCGGTTGCTTCTCTTGTTTTCCCTATTGAACCTGAAGTTCTTTCCAGTGTCCTCTGACCTCCGGCCAGTTTACAAGAATGAATGGTTCAGAAAGGAGGTGGAGGATGAGCGCCGTGGTGTTCATTTGAACCGGTTTCATACCTGCCGATCCCGGTTCAAAGGGCCAACCTCCATGTTTGCATCCCCCTCTTTTGCGATGAAGTGCTTTCACATTAGACTAGGGTTATGAGAAAGTTTGTCAGCCTCGGCTGAGGTTTTGCAAACTGTTATTTTTGATTATTTTTGTATGTTGTTCCTTTTTTTGCATTCTGGTTTGTGCGTTTTTTGCATTCAGAAAGCTTCTTATTACAGTTCTTTTTGTCCTTGGAATGTTCACGTCTGGGGATTTTTGTGAGCAAATTTTGCCAGATCGAGATACACTCATGGAACTGCAGCATGGTCTGCAAGGTTTCCTTCAATCCTGAAAGCTTGTTCCTTGCTATGTGTGCGGTAGCCAGCAACTCGCCTCAGCATTTCCCTGCTTAGTCTACTCCGCAGTGACTCTGCCGCTTGCTTCTTTTTCGTTTCTTTTTTCTCACTGTATACTATATGTATATATGTCTAGAAAATCAGCGGCAAAGGGAAAACAGGTGCACACACTCTAGTCACTAGAGTGACCGTGCTGGACTCCCGGTTCATTTTGTGCGGTGGATCCTTTTCCTGTAATTCCTACAGCTGGTTCCGTCTTTCGTGACGCTTTGTAACGTGCGCTCCTGGCTCAGGGCTTGAGAATTGGCAGCTCAAGGTTCTGAGCACGTGGGTTTCACTCAGACTTGGCCAGCACTGCGCTTGGGCAAGGTTGGTGGAACTACAAATGCTGACTTGTATGAGATGCTGTATGCTTGATTTGTAGTGCACATGCGCCCTGCTCCAAAGCTGCCTGCCTGGACCTCATCCTCGATGTAGCCTAAAATCTCCCAGAACTGGGGCATCTGCAAAAGCATGGAGTCAACCTCAGAACATCTTTGAATTGAAAAGGAATTGATGCGCTAAAACCACTTTTGATGACGTAATTTTCAAGCAACACATCCTGAGGGCCCCGCGCAAGCCAAGCGATAGCTCAGGTCAAGCAAATGGAACCTTTGCTGAAACGAACGGCGCATCGGGAGCTGTGTCTCAAGCTGCAACAACGGATTTTCATGATTGACATTTGTGTTCACAACTGTGTTCACAGACTGAATCATATTGAAACCAATGTTTTGGCAAAAGGCACAAGTAGTTGCATGTATGGCTCCAAACACAGCCGAACGAACAAATCAAATGCAACAGCAGTTGTTTGGACATCAGTTGGCACTGAACAGCAGCTACATGTCCGTGCTGGTTAAGTGAACCGTCCATGGAATCCATGCAGTATGTGCGTTCCCCAAGTGCGCTCGTTGGGTTGCACTTCTCGCCTGTTCCCACAGTGTTCCAATGACGCATTTTAGGCCTGTGAAACTCAATTGGTTGCTTTAGGCTGAACACGCGCACCAACAAGTTTCTAAGCCCTTGTTGGCGACACTGGTGCAGGCACATTCTTTGGCCATGCAGCTCTGCCAAAGTGATGTAGAGGTGAGTTTCGCGCCAGCGGGCCAAACGGGCCATGGCAACAGCCTGAGGCTCGACGAGCGGCCCACAATCACACGACTGTCGTGTGAGCCCCGACGCAGCTCGCAGCACCAATTGCGACAGAAAGCGGGCCACATTGCTTATGCCCAAGCCTCCAAAGCCTTGGCTCTCAACCCAAGTCTGGCAAGTCCCTAAAAGGCCAAGCACAAAACATCTTCCATTAGTGCACCACACGACACTATTACAGCGAAGTTCAAAAGAACGGGTTAAAGTGGAAAACAGCACCGCTTCGTGCAGCGGTCATTTTGAGCAGTGAGCGAATGCTCAAGGCGCCTGCTGTGAAAGGGCTGCAAGGTCAGTCCACGAAGTCTCAAGTGGTTTCCGTTTCCAGTCCATCAGCCCCCAAAACTACTGCTGACCTTAACATCGAGGTTTTCCGGAGGTCACTGCAGCTCCTCCATCTTGGCCCGGCAACATCACCAACCTCAATCACCATGTGCCCATCTGTTGGGGTCATGTCATCAGCCTTCTCATCCGGCAGGGTGAGCACGCAGCGGTCGTAGGGGCGCACCTTGTAGCCCAGCTTCTCGGCGACGCCAAGAAGGCCGCGTCACCACCATGAAAGGCCAAAGACCCGGCCATAGACTTCAGTCTCCAGGGGCAGCAGTTGCTCGGGGCGCAACCCAGGTAGAGTTTGGCGGCAGGCAATTAGGCGTGTCCTCGTTGTTGGTCCCCTTGGAGGAAGGCGGTCTTGACATCCTTCACATGGGCCTTCCACTTCCTCGGGGCAGCCAGCTGGAAGCAGGTGTAGATTGAGGCAGGTGCTCAATGGAGTTGGGCTTGACCGTTGCACGTCAGAGTCTTGCCATCCAACAACGCACCATCAGCTCTTGGGATTGTGCTGGTCCACTTGGAGGGGCACAGCTTCCATGTGGCCTTCTTGCATGGCTCGGCTCTTGAAATCGGAGATGGTGTTTGGATCCAGCTCCTTGGGCTCGTAGCGGTCGACAAAGCGAGAGTCGATCGCCTGATCGGGGAACTCCTGCAGGAAGGCACGGCTTTCCTCAATGGATCACCTTCACTGCGCCATTCTGCGCCAGGCTGTAACCCCTTCTTTCTTGCTTCACGAAATAGCTTCTTCTCCTCCTCAGCCAGCTTGGTGAACTTGACGAGGTCTTGGCCTTGCATCGGCAAGAAGCCAAATCTGAGACAACTTCGGCCGGTGAGGCTGAAGTTTCCAGAAGGGCTGCGGCCAACTTCTCCTTGACCAAGCCTCCCGCTTTCTCAGTGCGAGCGTTCTGCCATGGTGAGCCAGGATCTGTGAAGTGAATGCCCACTCCCAGTGATCAGCAACCAGGAGGACAGGCGCTCCGTACTTTTCCACCCATAGGCGCATAAAGTGCCCAGCACCTCCAGGAGGGCCACTTGCAAGAAGTTGGTTCCCTTCAAAGGACATCCAGGAAAATATGGCTCCATGAAGAAGAGGTCCAGCCCAACGAGGGTTGAACTCCAAGGCTCGCATCAGGTGACCTGGAAGCAGGCGTTGGCGTTTGACGGGCCTCACAGATCGGGCAGCGGTATATAGTGCATGAGCTTTGGTCCAGTCAGTGCAGACACCAGTGTGCTTCAAAGCTGTGCTTGGATGGTTGGCCAAAATTCCGGTGCACTCTGTGAACCTCTCGCCTGAGCCGTGGTGCCAAGGCGAACTCATCTTCGTTGACCTTCTGGAAGTGTTTGAAGTGCATCTGAAACTCGAGAACCGCTGCTCCTGAGCCGAGACCGGATGTCTTCCTGCGGGGGTTGTCATGGAGGTTGATGCTTCTTCTATCACTTGGTCCTCGTCGGCGAAAGTCACCGGCATAGCAGTGGACACAGATTCAGCTCCTGTTCGATCTCGACGTTCTCCTTGGCGTATTAGGTGAAGGCCACCAAGAGCTCGACCAACCTTGCGAGGTGGTTCGCGCTTGGAGTGCTGGTGCATGGTCTTATAGCCTAAAGTGTCCTTGATCCCCTCAACCAGCGCCTTCACAAACTCCGTGTAGATCGCGGCTTGGCGAGCCCCACCACCGATAAAAGCTCTTGTCGCAGCATAGCCCCTCGATGTTGGTCGCAAGGCGGGCTTCTTGGCCAGAGCGTGCGGAGTAGGGCCTTTCGCAGCTCGAAGGTTGAACCAGCACATATCCAGGTAGATGATGAACACCTCGGGCCTGAATGTGGTGCAAGGTGGTGACAGCGACAAAACTCCACGTCTCTTGCTCTTCACAAGGTCGCGGCCTCTTCTCGATAGCTGGCGTTCTTGAAGTCCCAGTCTGCAGTGTAGTGGTCCAATCCAGGGCGATAGACCCGCTTAGGCCGTGCTTTTTGGCCTCAGCTGTTAGACGAGGAGGGCTGTAGACCTCACCCACGTCTTCCAGGAAGTTCTTGTTCTGGCTCCGGGCAACATGTCGTTGAGCTGGAGTCAAAACCGCAGCAGCGCCATCAAAATCAGTCCGGGCCAGCTCTTGAGTCCATCGCGTCCGCCTCCAGGATCTCACCATCGGAGTGGATCTCGAAGACCTCCTTGGCTCGTAGCAGCGAGGTGTCCTGGGCTTGGCTCGTGCCTGCGTTGGGCGGACCCCTGCACTCATGCTTCGCTTGTCCGGTGGTGCTGCAGCTGGGGATGGTGACGGGGTCCGCTACCATGAAGGTGTCACCATGATGGACGGCGTCAAATTGCCCTCCTCAGAGCTGGCAATGGTCCCTGAGTGCGTGGAGGTCCCTGGTTGCCCTACCGACCTGTCTCATCTCATCACCCAAGGAGGCCATTGGTCTTAACTTAGCCACACCGATCGGGATGTCATAGATGCCACCGATCTGTGCTGCGCCTGCAATCCCGGCGCAGTTCACCGAAACACCTGAGGCGGGGACAGGTGCCAGGCGGCCATAGCAGCTCAAACATCGGCGAAGTTGGGCCATTGCACGGGACCCGATCACCCCCTTCTGCGGTGTCCACGATCGCCTCATAGCCTTCAGTGACTACACCAGCATAGATCGCCAGCCTCTTGGTGGCATGCTGCTCGATGTCATAGTTCTAGATATGCCCATCGACGACGCGAGCGCACAGTCATGTAGATTCGATTTGACCCACAGTTTGGGCCCATGCCAAGTCTTGGTCTCCTCGGGCTTGATCTGGTCCTCGTGGGCGGCAGTCATGAAGTTCTTCACCACCTTCTGCACCAAGGCCTCAGGCCTGTCCAGTCAGTGGTCGAAGAACTTGAGTGACCTGGTCTCAGAAGCATCCTGCCAGCAATCCTTGGAGGATCTTGGAGGCATCTCCTCGCCAACCTGAGCTTCCATGTCCTGAAAGGCCAGCTCCTTGGTGGCGATGTAGGAGAAGCTTTCCGAGCGACTTCGCTCGGGTCCGAAGAAGAAAGCATCTATGGCCGCCGGGGCGGCCGCCTCCAAGAACGGGGCGTGGTTGGTGAAGATGGCGCGCAAAATGGTGCCATGGGCAGGTTCCGAGGCGGTGACGGTCATCCGATGGTCTCCGCCAGCTTCCTTGGGGCCGAATTCTCAGGAAGGACATCAAAAGTTTCAGGCCCCATTTGCTCTTTGGGATGTTGTTGTCAAGCTCCCAAAAGGCTAGTGAACGAAGCCAGGAGCGAAGCTTCTCCACTTGGCCCGGCCAGCGGCATGCTCTTCCTTTCTCCTGTGAAGGCAGCACTCAATGCCTTGACCAGCTGATCGCCGGCCACCGCTGGATCCGTAGGCGCTGAAGGCGATGACGTCGACATAAGAGCCTTGCCCAAGGCCTCAAAGGCACTAGCCGCCGGAGGTGGGTTGGATGCTGTAGCCGTGTTGGCGTTGAGCCGGTCCACGAATGCGCTAGCAGTGCCAAGACCTTGCCCAGGGGCCCCACTCAACCCATCAGGGTTGGTGGGTGCATTCATTCCTCTTTGAGGAGTAGGGCTTCCCGTTTGGGATGGTCCACAGTAAGCTTGAGGAGGTTGAGCTGTCCTGACATTCCGGAGGAGCAGCAAAACCAGGAGGCTGCGACGTTGAGCTCGAAGCCAAAGGTGTAGTTCCTGCAAGGCCACCGCCATAGCCTGAGCCGCACTGTGGTCCTGCTCCGGCAGTGGTGGCCTGGGGCTGTCCAGCCCTCCACAACCATGTGGCTGAGGCACTGGCTCCGCTACCACTGTGGGAACAGCGGCTTTCAAAAGAACGGGTTAAAGTGGAAAACAGCACCGCTCCGTGCAGCGGTCATTTTGAGCTGTGAGCGAATGCTCAAGGCGCCTGCGGTGAAAAGGCTGCAAGGCCGGTCCACCAAGTCTCAAGTGGTTTCCGTTTCCAGTCCATCAATGCAAAAGGGGTCGAGAAAAAGAACACATGCAATTTGCGTGGTCCTTCAGCATGTTGCACAACGCTGTGCGCTGCTGTTGAACCACTCAAAGCCAAAGTTTGCAAAGTTATATAATTTCTTTTGCGAATAGAGCTCAGCTCACCTTTTCGCAGCTGAACCCAAATTCGCTGGGTTCTCAGTAATGTTGGATCTCGAATAGCAAAACCCCTCCCCCTAGCAGCTAGCAAACAATCGAGGGAGTGTGAACAAAGTCAACCCCGCCAAAACTAGCTGGACTTGAGGGATTGAGGAGCAGCAGTAGTAGCAGTAGTAGTCGTCGTCGTCATCGGTCGTAGGAGTAGTAGTAGCTGTAGCCGGAGCCGTAGCTCAAATGTTTTTCCCAGGGCTCCAAGTTAGCGCATTAATCCTACCCCCTAATTAAACAATTCACATATATAATTCACTTTCCCTTGACAAATTAATCTTTGAAAAATTGTATGGAGCAATGATTTCAATGAGCTTCAAAAAGGGGTTTGAAAAAGGTTTTCCGGCCAGAGTTCCGTCAATCAAGCAGACCTCAGAAGAGGTTAACGATCTGAAAGGAACACAATAGCAAAACAATAGAAAACTAAATCAACAAACAAAGCAAACCTAAAAAAGAACACTCTGCGCCTCTGCGCAAAAAACTGGTTATATTTCCAACCCACGAAACTATTCAGGGTGTGGGTTCACTATTCCCTCCATTTGACCAATTAATTGGGATTCGACATTTATCGCACAAACGGCCTCTAAGTCGGCGGCTCCAATGCCAAAGCCTGCAACTGTTGCGGTCCTTTGCACAAATGACTTGTAATGAATATGCTTGAATCATTCATTGCGCAAGACTGGCAAAGCTGTAAAGAGGAATAAGCCAAATTTCTTGATCTCTGCCACCCGTGCATGGCAATCAGCACACACACTTTGTTCGATGAAAACCCCGCAACGGATGCCAAGTCCTGTCTGCGGCACATGTTGATCATTGTTGATCCCTACTTCACCGCAAAATGCTAGGGTTCACAAAGCTGATGGCAAACTGGTTCA